GTCTTTTCTCAGAGCTCCCATCCACCTCCACTGGACCCATTCTGGAGATGACCTCTTTAGAAACTGCTTGTGCCTGAAGGCATCCTTAAGTATCAGTGGAACAAGTGTTGTAACAAGAGCCTTCTTCCAACTGATTTTGCTAAAAATCTGGCAGCCAACTCCTGACTCTGGTTGTAGCAGAGATTCAGACTGAGAAATGAAGTATCAGGTTTATAGGAGATGCACAGAAGCAGCTCAGGGCAACATCAACTGGGCTGATGTAAAAAAGGCAGGAAATTTTGTTAGTAAAAGCTTCTGTCTCCACCTTATCGGAGCCCTTTCTGGAAGGAGCTCAACAGAAGAGATGGCTGGTACAAGGATGTTATTCCCTCTGGAAAGAGACTGAGGCTGCAGTCCTGGGTATATAATGTCCATTGTGAGAAGATCTCAGGGAATCCTGTGAAGTCAATAGTTACTATCTTCACTTTATAAATGAAGAAACTAGGTCACAAATTGGTTTATCTGTGGCAACTGGACTCCATTATGTTGGCCTAAGCATCCACACACCTTTCTGAAGGCAAAGGAGAAAGACGTCTGTGGGATCTCCCTTTTGTTCTTCCTCTCTGAAAACTGTTGGTATGTAAAAGAGCGCAGTCTATCAGGAAAGCGATCCTACCTCTTTTGAAGATGAAGGTAAGACTTTGCCAGAATGTTTGAGGTCACTTTTGTGGTGCCTAATTTTATATGCTCACAATCAAAGGTTTTTGAGTAGTCAGTTCCACTGAAGTTGATGAAAGTCATTGGTGCTCAGTATTTCTTAGGTCAGCTGAAGCCGCCACAGAATCACTCCAGAAGTCTCCACAGCTTATAGAATAGCTTGCTGCAGGTTTGTCCCTCCCTTAGGAACTAATTCCCACTTTTGCATATCTATCCGTTCCGTGATCTGTGCTAACAGCTTTTGGCATATGGGCTATTTTGTGAAATGTTAATTTATTTTTATATTGCGCTTCATTTGGCCACCTAAATTGCATAATGTTATGTCTGCTTCCTGAGTGGTACTTTTTAAATTGGATTGTGGTAAGTGTTGTAACTTGGGTAGAAATATCCACTAAAACCATGTTCATGGCAGACATGATCAAACATAAACTAATATCTGTACTACAAGGCCACACATCCAAAAATCATCAGTCAGGCCCTTTAAAATGTGAACTAAAAAAGCATGGAAATAATGAAGCTGTGATTCTTTTGTTTTAGCTTTTTTCACTGTTCTCCACAACTGGAAAATGTAATAAACTTACTTTTTCTATTTAGAAAAGGTTTCTGGACAGTTATGTGGCCGCAGAAAGTAAGGCTTGAAGAAAACGTTATAAAACTGTGAGATTTATTTAAAAATTTTGAGACTGGACAAAGCACCGGATCAGCTCTTGATGCAGGTAGCAAGAAAAACAAAAAAGCAAATACTACACATCATGAGTGCTAGGGAGCAAATTCCCCATGTTTTTCACACTTGCACACAAACATCAAAATCATTTATTTGTATCATTGTCATCCAGCTGCTTTCTGATTAACTGACTTTTTTCTCCATTAGCTATTAATCTGCAAGGTTTGAGGTTAGTCCTAGCTTTATCAGGCTGAGGCAGGTTTTCCAAAGAGGCACGTGCACTACCCTCGCTCTACAGCAGTGTTAGCACCAGGCTGTGACTGAAGCCCCGGGATTTGGGAACTGCTGGTCTCTTGTCTCTTAGCAGACTCTCTCCTGAACTGCCCTGGCCCTCCCTTCTCCTTTGCCTTCATCCTTAACTCACTGCACTGAGAATTATAATTCATCTCATCCTCATTTCAGGTTATGGAGCTCTGATCTTGTGCTGTTCTTTCATAAGCACATGTGCTATGAATGCTTCCCATTTGTGTTAACCCACAATTCAGTAAATGTTAGAGTAAACAACTTGAGTGACTGCAGCATTACAATTGTTAGTCTCCTATTACACTGCAGTATACACCCACTAATTATTGTTATAGTTTTAATTCACAATCATAAAACCCATTCATGACTTAAGGCAATTTCTTTTAGTAAGACCACCTCAAAAAAACCGTGAGAATTAATACCCATAAAGCGCTGCTCCACTTGAAGCAGCTGATTTTGTTGGCTCTTTCCTTCCCTTTTGGCCTTACTGCTTTCAGCCTACTACATTTTTAATATCTGCTTGCTTGGTTTTGTATTTTTTTGAGGAGTTCCACTGCAGAGTGGCTTTCTCCTGCTAAACCAGTTAGCTAGTGCACCCCTGAGGCCCCCAACTACTTATGATGTGATTTGAAATTTATATCAGATCTATGTGAATCTGATATAGGTAGGGTCTCACGTCTACATCATGATTTTTTTTCTCTGTAACTTTTATAGATAGGTTAATGAAAAATGAATTAAGTTATAAGTCTACCTTCAAGCCTTTGATTACCTTACCAAGCTAATAAGCATCTGCTGACTTGGACATCAAGGCTGCAGGTCCTCTGATGCCTGGAGTAAGGCATAAATCTATGGCTGCAGAATTTGGTTCTGTCCTTGGCCTCACCTGCTGTATTTTGTCCGTCCTGAAGATTTTCTTTTTTTTTTCTGTTTTGATCTTTGACAGTGTTTAGATCATCAGTATCTGAAAGGAGAGGATATGAGGGAACGTTCAAGCTGAAATCTGATTTACTGAGTATTCAAAATCCAATATAGGATTCACTTATGACAAGTACTGCTGGAAAACATAGGATGTGATAGTGCAGATTTTCTATGGCAGCACAGCCATGGTGAGGTTCCAGCTAAAGGCACTTCGTAGTTTTCAGGACTGGGTCCAAAATGAACATTTTTTTCAGCCAACCAGTGGATTCCCTGAATTTGTTTGTTTACTCCAAAAAATGGGGAAACCCCTCCTGAAGCTTACTTTTTCCAGGATTCCTTATAAAAACAGCCCTGCTAGTTCAAGTTTTCTGTGCGTGTATGTGTGTGTCTGTCCGTGAGGGAGAAACGATATCCATGTAGCTGTAGTACGATGTGATATGGAAGTTGCTCTGGCAACTGCACAAGGCTTGTTGAATGCCAAGGTAAATAATGGCAAAAGACATGCATACACTATTATTCTCATAATTTCCTGCTGCCCTCGGGCAGTAATAGCTTACACGCCCTATTTTCCAAATGTTTCTAATTTATTTCTCATGAGCAGAATTATCTCATATGGAAAACTCCACCCCTTTGCCGCCAGTCATGCCTCTTCCTTTACAACTACCGCAGCTGAGGTGACCAGTCAAAGGAAAAGATTATGGTTATCATATTTACTGTTAACTAGTGAAACAAAACGACTGGAGCGTGCTTAAACTCCTCACATCTCTCTGCTCATTCATTTGGAGCTCTGGGATTCTCCGTCTTCAAGTACTAATTCTGCATGCAATTCTGCAAATGTATTTCATTCCTTATAATCCTGGATGATGGTTCTCATGCAGCTCCTGCTTTTATACCTGAATCTTAAACTGTGATATCCTTGTTATTCCAGTCCCACGTCTGTCATGTGCAGCTTGAGCATGATTTGCAACATGCCTTTTATATCAGCCAGGAAGTCTCTCTTGAGAAAGAGCAACATAGGGAGGAAGTAGCCAAAAAAATTTTCTTTTTGCATCAAGACAGCACCATAGTTACAGCCCTTCAGCTTTCCCTGTATTGAGGAGTATCTTGATGTTTTCGAAAACTTTTTCCCCTTTTTTGCTATCTATGTTGTCTTTGAGAGTGCAGTAAAGAGATAGTAATGATTGCCAAATAACTAAAAACGTAATAGAACACATGCCTCAAAATTGCATTTTGAAGATTAGTTAAACAAATAAAATTACTTAAAATAAAACTATTTCAGTGAATGCTTTAGTTAAAATGTGGTTTGAAAAGGATGTCCCTAGTCTGGATTATAAATTCCACTTTGAGACCCGAGTCCTGCATTAACATCCTTTAGCATGAAGGTTAGTGGTAATTCCAAGCTCATGAATGCAAGAATCTGTGTTAGGTGGCTCTGTCTCCTGAAAGTACATATTTAAATTTTTGGTCTTTCTTTGTAGATTTTTGGGCCTCAAAGAATGCATTAGAAGGTAATCATGAAAAATAAGATTTTTTTTCTCTGTGCTATTTATTATGTACCCTTCTCCATCCTCCTCCCTTTAACTTCCAGCAGTGAGAGACATTACGCTGACTAGCTCTGCTGTCTCCTCTGCTCACAGCCCAAACAGCTTTTTTGCTCTGTAGCTGACCAGCAAAAACAGGTGGTGGTGGTGGCATGGCGCAGTGGGAACGCGTAAGGGAGGCGAAGGGATGGCTGAGGAGCAAGGTGGCTGCAGTGTGGCCTCCGTGGTCAGGAGAAGTAATCACGGGGTGGAAACCTGTTTGCTTCCTGCAGTGCTGCTCAGTGAGTGAAATTTCATCAGGGTTGTGGAAATCGTGGCAGGGCAAATGGGATAAATCCATGAGAGCTGCATCCAATATATGAAACTGAAGAACATTTTCATATGTTAAAAAAAAAGGCCTTTTTCCGATTACTGTTCAGTTTAGGCTTTTATGGGACTTCTTTTTCCTCTCGTGACAATGTTTTTATCTCACTTTCTCTGAGTGGCTCTTTTCAAAGAACCCATTTACACCAGGATTTAATTTTGATTTAAGGTGGTTCCTTCTGTGCTAAATAAAACAGCAATTAATTATTAAAAGCATACCTTTGGTGGCTGAGCCTTCTCTCTTATAGCCGTTAAACTCTGAGCCATGTTTTGCTTTTTAATAATTAATTTTTTTAGATGACTATACAATAAGTGCCTTCTGGGAAACTGGGGAAGGACGGTCTTGTGGCTGCTGCTTGAGATTGCTGTGTGACCCCGGATCAGCTCCCAGCTTTGATACATGCTTCCTCAATGCCTGGGCACATATCTAGATATATCATTTCTGCCTCAGTTTCTGCCTCTGCGAAAACAGCTGTCAGATTATTAGTGATTAGCTTTAGTACCTTCTCTTACAGGACTGAGAGAAACACTGCTCACCAGTTTGTTCAGAGAGTTGTCCCAGAGATCAAAAATATACTGCGGTGATCGGAATAGCTGCAGGTGCAGATCAAGTGTGCCATGCGTGCTGCTATGAGAAGTTGTATGTTCTCTTTCCTCATAGGTAAGCCTTGAATCAGTACAAACCTAGGGTTTTGGTATGAACTGAGCCCCTGTAGCTTTGCACGGAGATCAGCTGGTTCTGTACGATGAGAAAAATGGCCAATTTATTTGCTTAAGGTTTAAAAGATGTTTATGAGCTTTGGTAAAGAGGAAATTTCATCTTTGAACAAATCCTTATGCACTAGATTCTTTGCAAGCAGCACCGCCTCAAGCCCTTTTCTCTAATTGTTCATCTGATCTGTACAGGGTGAAATCGGCACCGCGTATTGCACCTGACAAACCGACTCGGAATGGTGCAGCTGCGCTCTTCAACTGTGTGCCTTGGTGCTGGAAACACTGCGGGAGCCTGCGAAGGGCAGAACTAAACTCAGCTGGTGCCAGTAGTCTGTGCTGTTACAGTGTGGGAGTTACAGCAGCAAAGCAAGAGCGTTAGGAAATGAAAATGGGGCCAGGTAGGCAGTACTCCTCACTGTTGTGTTAGGAGGTCTTGTGCTGATGAAAGTGCCATTTTTTCTGATGGGACTTAAAACTGCAGCTCTGATCTCCCATTGCGTATTAGCACTCTCTGCAAGAGAGGAGAAATTTGGTAGCTGGCGAGATTCCAGCCTGCACTAAGTCCTTTTATTTTGCCTGCCTAGATTCCCTCTGTAGTTTCAGGTACATTGAGCATCCTACTGTCATTATCCTGAATAGTTTCATCTTTTAACAGTATACAGCAACTTTGTGTAACTACCACTTTCCATTCCGGAAAGGGATGTACTTAAGTGGTAAAGTGCTCGCTCTGCGAGTGTAGGAATGCACACATAAAAACAAGGGATGAAATACTAGAATTGACAGAGACAGAAAATTCATTCCTGTCTCCTCCCAGGGCTCATCTGCCTTGAATAAGAGGGAATGCCTGCTCTTTTGAGGTAGGGATGGCAGTGGTCCAAAACAAGGAATGATTTTCTGCCAGCTGATTGGGCTATTTGGAAAGTGTAATTCTGCCCCTGCTGCCACCCTTGGATACCACTCCTGTGGACGGAGGAGGTATCCAGGCCAAATCATTTTAATGATTAAGACAGTATAACTTTCATCTCAGCTCCCATGCCTATTTGGTATAAGGAGCTATGCAGCCGTGAGGAGATTCAAAAGGCCCATGGAGGCACTGAGTGGACAGCTGTCCAAAAATAGCCCAAGGAGCACTAAGCATAGGGCCTTTGGTAAAATGGAGGCTGTTTGAATTTGTTCCTTAGGGCTAGATATGATAAAAGATTTTATAACCTATTCACTAATTGATTAATATAAACTTGGAGCACAATCGTGGAAGCATGCGCCAGAGCCTGGAACACCTTCTTCCAGGGGTATGTGGTAATGACTAGGCTACACAAACAGGCTCTCCCTTTCTAGCCCCCAAAATCTTGATTTTTTCCTGCACAGGAGTATGGCTGGGTTAGGCTATTGCATGAAAAGTGAGTACAACTTCTTGGCCTGTTCTGCAAGCTCTCTGCTCTATTAAAACAACAACAAAAAAAAAGGCTGGAGAGGCCTATCCTGAAGAAGGCATGCCAGGTTGGAAATGCTTTTCTTCAGCTCTGAATATGAATCTGGGCCGTTAGCATCAGAAAAGGGGTAGAGCCCTTGTCCTCACTGACTCCTGTTGATTGGCATTAGGGAGCATCTTTTTCTTGAACTGTTGAGGAGGAAACTAAATAGGTAGCTCAGGATTTTGGCCTCCATCCTGAGCAATAACCCTGGGCTCCTCCTTCAATCCAGGAAGACTAGAGGGCAATTCCAGAGGGAGAGTCATCTGTTCTAACTTAGATGTCTTTCTTGTATCACCCTAACTAAGATGCTTGGGTTAGGGTAAAGGAATCTCACACTGGAAAGCTGAGATTTGGGGATTTAGTCCTGCATTGGAACTAGCTTTTAACACAATAAAGAAAAATGAATTTTTTTTTAGAATTTTGGAAAACAGAAGTAGATAGGAAAAAATATTTTACCCAGAAGATAATAAATTAGCAAGGAAGGCATTGAAGCAGAGAAAGCAAATATCTTCAGGAAATATTTGCTGTGGTTTTCCTTTTAGAAAATGGAATTCAGATGGACTACTCTAAAAGAAGGGAGCTAGGACTAAGAACAATCAAACTAGGCAAATCTTTTGTCTAGGATGGCCAATTTCCTTTCCTGTGTTCCTAATACCTAAAGTGCTGGGAATATAAATAGTTAATCAAATACATTTGTTATTATAACCAAAGGGGGACTGAGCAGGCCAAAACTGGGCCCCCTTTTTGTGAAGTAGATAGTCTCTAGCAAGAAGAACATATAGCAGATAAGAAGTCAAAGGGTTAAAACCAAAATGATCAAGGCAGGTAATGGCAGCAACATCATGCTAGTTTATGGTGGGGGATTTTTTTGGTAACAGATCTCTGGAAACGGAGCAGAGGTAGGAAAATGCAGTAGAAAGGAGAAGAAAGCAGAGACAAGCGTGAAGTAAGACTGAGGTGTAAACACTGTGAAAATGTGGGTGTGAAAAGAGTGACCAAACAGCACAGCATGAAGAAATCTCTATTAGCTGTTGAAAATACTATTTGTGTCAGCCTATGCCTGGTCATACTTTTCCTGCCACTGTTCTACTGCTTTCTCTCTGCTGTTTCTCCACGTGAATGATTTCCTTCCTTCTGGATAGGTAGGAATGTGTATACTGTTCATGATGTAATTTTCTTTTGCCATCAGAAATAATAACTTCCCCTCCATTGTCTTATCTAGTCCAATAGGGGATCTTTGCTAACACAGTAGCATATTTGAGTGCTCATCTCCAAGCCTGCTTGTCTTGCATGCTAGATTAGCAGAGACATGCTAAAAGCAGCAAACTCAGGCCTTTGCTGGAGGTAATTCATTGCATAAGTCTGCTTCTTGTGCCAGTATTCATCAGACTCGTGCATTCTCAGACTCATTAAAGGGTATCTCCATAGAGGCAGAGGGAAAACATGGGCAGTATGAAGAAAATTCAGGAACTCTTGTATTACCTCCTGGCTGATTGAGGATAGTCCTGAATACATATAAATAATATTTATATTATTTATATAAATATATATGCTGGGCTCCTACAGCAGCATGACGGATGAATAGCACTGGCTTTTGGCAGGTACTGAGGAAGAGTTTGCTGTGCAGGTTCCCCTGAGTAGCTATGTCAATGCTATGTCACGTTGGACTTGAAACGGCTCCTCTGCCAGATTTTGGTTTCCAGTTCTGGTCTTCTCATGAGCATTCACCTAAATAGGCTCTTTTAATGTTGTGCACAAGAGCTAGCATGAGACTGCTGAATCCAATTTTCAGTTCAAATATAAGAAATATGTACTTTGACCTGTGTTTTCTCATGGTGAAAAGCTGATGAATTAAGTCATAGTGATGTGGCAGTAGTGACATTATTATTTCTGTGCTGTGTGCTTTCCAAGCAACAAAAATGGACACACCATCTTGAAGGATTTAATAATATGAAACAAGCAGGCAGGCAGAAAAAAGAGGAGGAAGCACACTGTAGGAGCTCAGCCATCAGCCAGATGCCCGGACTCTTGGTAATACAGGGCTGTGTAGATTACCTTGGGGTTAGAAATGTCGCAAGGTGAACACGATGCTGTGGGTGTCAGGAATTTCGTAATGAGATATCCAGCCATATGCTACGGCTCTTTGGCTTTTTCACTATGGAACTATGAGGACAAATTTGGGGAAAGTCTTGGGAACTGGGTCTCATGACACTACAGGATAACTCTTTTGGTTAGGAAAGTTTGCTTTTTCATATTCTAACAAAAAATATGCCAGCTCCTAGGTCTGCTGGGACACGTATATTGTATTCCAAACCTCCTTTTAGGAGAGCAATTAATATTTAGCATGACTTTTCACAGTGCCAGCCCTAGCTTTTGGTGCTGGGTTCTTTCTGTCCAGCTTTGTTCTTCTAGGTGTGCTGGAGTTTCTGGTTGGGACGTACTTGGTTTTCCTAGCATCCGTTCTGCCAATCAGATATGGTCTTCCTGATGCCAGCTGAGCTTGGAGAGCGCTAGAGCTTCGTGTTGCCAACTCTTCCCACGCATCATGTGATGCCAAAATTACAGAATCATCCTGATTTCCAGATCAGCGTGGTGACATGAGATAACCCATTTTTTTTAGATGAAATGTTTGATATTCCCTTGAGTTCCTCTCCACCCTCCAGTGGATCCACATCATGCTGCTGAATTTCCATACATAGGATCTTCTTGGCATAGATTCCTTCCATTTCAATGGTTCTGTTTCTCTTCTGTCCGTGCACAATTTTCAACATCTTCATCCTTGAGAAGACACAAGACTTTCTTTACATTAATTAGGAAATGGTTGTGAACGTATATTCCGGAAACCAACCAGTCCCTCTTAGTAGAAAGGGATGCTATCCATCCAAAAGCAGTGATACTTCATGTTATGGTGGCAAGGGGAGGTATGGGGTTTAGTTAAAATAGTGCAATGAATTTGGCAGGAAAGCATAGAGTAATGCTGTTCAGGCTGCTTTTGAGAGCAGCAGGTCTGGAAGGTATGCTGTGGAAGCAAGGGATAAGGGAGATTTCAGCTATCTTCAGCCCAAATTAATTAGAATTATGTAAGTGGAGAGAAAAGGAAAGATTTTAAAGGGGAGGGAGACATCTGCTCTGTCTCTAAGTTTTCAGACTTTCCTGCAAATGCAGGTCTCCTGGAAAGACAGAAGTATCTCTGCGCTTTTGAAACAGTGAGGGGAGTAAGTGATGAGGAGTCACTGGCTAAAATCCAATAGCCTGATTATTGCTAATCCTGGCTGTTTCTTACATGGGATGGTTTGCTCTTGCAATTTGTTGTGGTTATTTATTAGTATATCATGATGAGGATTACATAGCAGCAAAATGCGAGGATAAACTGCAACCTCCCAGGCTTCTGTAAACAAATATAAGCAGATTGGCAATGCGTATCAAAATGATGGATAAAATTCCCAAACTCTCTAATCTACTGAATAAGGAAAATTTCGGGGATATCTCGAGATTCTTACTGAGGAATGTGTTCTATTTGCTCAGAAATTGCTGCTGGCAAAGGCAGGGTGGCTCAAGAATACTCTGGAATAAGTGCCAGGCAAAGAGCTGATTACAGTGGCGAGGTGGGAGGTAATGTTCCAGCAATTTGGAAATCGCTGTTGAGAGTTAGAATGTTTAGCTAAAGAAACACTTCTCTGAAATAAGACATTAAGGTAGACTGACTCCTTCTTCCCCCACTGCTTTCCTCTGGTGGATTCTATTAAAGTGTGTTGGGAGGAATAAAAGGAGTGAGGTCAGGTCAGACTGCAGGGCAGAGAAGGTCAGACAGGGTTAAGCAGGTCAGGTCACATTTCTATGTCTTCTGTGGTTCCCCAAGAATTTGGGATCACTGCTTAGAAACTGTGCTATTTGATCAGCTGTTGGTAATTTGAGCATTACACAAGAGCAAGTGGAATCAAAAATGATACTTAAAGGCAAATGACTGGGAAGGAGGAGTGAATGGAACACTATTACATTTAAAAATTAGATACACCAATCCTTCATTTCATCTCCATTTGAAATAAACTGTCAGGGTTGGTTGACCTAGTAACAAGTACTGTCTGGCTCAGTAGTCAGAAACATGTATTTCATTGCCCTTCAAGAAATAAGTTTAGAAAAGGCCATATATCTGGGAAAGGAGAACACCGAGCTGAGACATGTCTGTAAGGTGTTGTTCTACTAAGAAAATTAACATGTCACTTCAAAAGTGGCTGAGCACCAACCTTAGACAATGGCTACTTTGAATATCTTGTAAGAGAGAGAATTGTGTTGAAGGGCTAAAAATAATCTTTATCCAGTAATTGCAAAGTATTAACTCTTTTTCAAAGTATATCATCATGAAGTAATTTTCATCGCCAGTCATCAGACCGGCAAATTGAGACATTCAAAGGTTAAATAACTTGCCTAAGGTCACAGTAGACCAATAGCGGTGCTGGGAGTAGTACCTAGGTCTAAGCCGTGCCTGCTGTACCTGTTATCTCTAAAAGAAAGTAAATTCAGGGTAGATAAATTAGCTTTTCTTGAATGATGAAAATGTGAGTAGACTCAGGTAAGGGGAGAAGAAACCTGGTGTCAGTAGCTTAGAGAAGATAACTTCAAGATCGATTTCCTGTTCCCAGGGGAAACAGAAGAAGATTAAGGGAAACTGTCTTTTTGGGTTTTTTTTTCCAGATCATGTTGTTCGAGTCCTGGACAGAAATTTGGCTCAGAAGGCTCAAATCTCTTGGACTTTGAAGGCTAGTCTCCTCATAAAGTAATATCTTCAGGCATAAGAGTAGCAACATATAAAGAAAGGTAAGTTCATCTGAGACTGTTAGTTTATTAGTGGGTTCCCCTCTGATGCCTGCTCTGGGCAATGAAAGATGCATACGGCTCTACATCCCCTGCCATGCTTGTTTTGGTTCTCCCTCTCTCGAGCTCCCCAACCCTGGCCATGGCTCTCCAGCACACAGAGATGAAGCGGAGAAAGAAAACATATATTTAGTGGGGAAATACCTTGTCCCTTTATATTCGGTAAGGAAAATCTAGCACAGAGACAGACATGGAAGGAGAACTTTATTTTGAGCCCAGTAAAGCAAAGTGCAACTTGTGAGTTTGAAGGAGACATATTTTGTGACTATTTTACTGAAACTATAAGGACTTATTCATACTCACTTATTATGTCATTTTACAATTTTGTAACCCAGCTCAGAGTTCCTACTTCACTGTTTATCTCTACAATCTCCTGTTTGAGTGTTTTTTCCTCTGAGTATTGGACTCATGACAAATTTCTGAACAAAATAGCAATCTCACTGCGCTGTGATTTGCACAGCATTCTGTTATGTTCAGATGCACCTGCACCCCCACAAGCTCTAAACATTTCATATCCCTTTATATAGAAATGGCTACTTCTGAGTTCGGTTAGAGCTAGAGTAGAAGGGAACAAGGGAACAGTCATGTGTTTATTAAAGAACTCAAGGAAGCTATGGTATAAGCTACCTGTAAAAAAAAAAAAAAAGGCTAGCATAAAATTTAAATACTGAAATAGTTTTATAAGGAGGTAGTGTTTTACAATCATTTCAGCCTAAAAACATTTAACTCATTCCAGATTTTGCAGTTTTTCAGTCCTGAGTATGCTACTATAGTTATGGAAAAGAAAGAATCATGAAGATGACAATATTATTTTTAACTTTTCATCCCCTTTCATAAATGAGAGAGAAGTCTTAGATGGAAATTTGGTGTTGGAAAGGTTTAAAAAGAAGGGTTGGAAGGGTTTAAAAAGCTAGGTAAGTCTCTTTATGAGACAGTCAATCCACCATCTTGTCCTTCGCTATAAAGCTACACCAAACACTTGTCTGTGCTGAGGTAGCCTGTCCAGTCTGGTATCTTTTGAGGTCCTTGGGCCCAGGTGCTGTGCTCAGTCCATGCTCTGACTTAATACCTGTGTGAATTCTCTCCCCTGACATATTTGAGGAAGAACCACCCGACTGAAAACTTGGGGACCAATTTTGGCTTCTACTACATGGCAGTAGAATGGCCGTTTTGTTATTTCCCTTTGGGTTACAAAAAGCCTGAAATGTAGGCACTCCAGGTATGCTACCTGATTTTCAATGGCTTGTTAATATAATAATGTGTGCATTTATTTCTCCTCCATAATGCTATTAAAAGCAGCTCCTTTTAAAAACACCAAACAGGCAAATATACCCTTACTTTTTATAACAGGAGGGAGAAAGATGAGTGTCAGTCAGTGAAGACTAGTTACAAATACGTCTCCAGCTAGGCCTCCTACAGACTAAGTGATATTGGCTGAGTGACAACTAGATTACTCAGGGCTATAGCTCTTTAAAGACTGTTTGTTATGGATTTCTACAGAAGAGATATTTACCATGGGAGAACAAACAGATCCTGCTACTGTGTTTCCGTGTGCTTTATAGAAGTGCTCTAAACTGTTTACAGTCTTGCTTAATACTGTTTAGATTAGTTTCACTTTCTGAGTGTTGTTCCCTCCTGCCCTGGGTTAGCGCTTGTGTGGATGCAAACTAGCTGAAACAACTCCTCCAGTCCCCTGCGGTACACCGGGATTCTTGCAAAATCTCACAGCGAGCTTGTGTGTTCTTAGTGCTGGGCCAGGACGTACGGCAGAGGTCTGCAGAAAGCATCCTAACTCACTTGCTTCCAAACAGCGCAGCTGTGGGGATGAGCCAAAGCTGGAAGGGCTTTACGTGCCCACTCTGCATACACTCAAGCCTTTGAGCTGAAACCAGTATTATAGCTTCAGGGTTATTCACTAGCAGTTTTGTTTCCTGATTCGGACAAAGCCTGGGAAATTTGTGTTCAGGATACAATCATCCTGTTCTTTGGAGTAACTGTGTTAGGATTTCTTTCTCCCTTCAGAAGGTGGTAAGAATTCCCTGTCCTTGTGCTTGAATGATACAGGAAGCTCAGTGTAGACCTGGGGGTTTCACGCATTTTTTTCACTCATCGTTTCACTCCTTAGAACAACTAAGTCGTTTTTTGACGTCTTTGTAACCCCAAGTTGTTTGCCTTATTCGGAGTTTTCCTGTATAGTTTTTCTTTGCTTCTTTTAAGGAATAGTTCATAATTTTTTTCCAACTTTTGCATAATTCTGTAGTGCCCCAAGAAATTACTCAACTTAAAACAGGAAAGGAAAAAAGTTACTGCCCCCGGACAAAACAAATATTTTAATCACTTATAATATTATTTTAAATGTACATATAATTATTATTTCGGGCATTTCCACATGACATTTGGCATTTTTAAAGATAGTGTGATGATTTATTTTCATATGCAAAGCAGCTTGCGGCTTTTTTTGGTTCTGAGGGGACAAGGAGGTGGAGCACAGCCTGTGGCGGCGGGAATGGTAGGGAGCGAATGTGAGCGGTGTCAGCAAATGGGGGGGAAACGCGGGGAGAACAGCATGGGCTACAGGAGGGTCGCGGGGAGAGGGACCACAGAAAATCGAGAGGTCTGGCTGGAGGTGCAGGGACGAGGTGGTGGTAGGGATCAGAGAGACTTCCGGGGAAGAAAGAGGTATTATAGAAAATAAGGTAAAAACAATGTGAGTGGAGGCTACACCCAGTGAAAATTGCTCCCCGCACCAGGGAGTCTTCAGCCGGCCTGCTGCTCAGTATTTGTTTTTCTTTCCCTTGCTTGTTAATTATTGAAGCCAATGGCCATTAAGGCAGTGGACCTCCTGCTATCGGGTTTATCTCTACTTTTACAGCCCTGTCAAGCAGCAGTAATGTAGATAAGCTGCTGGGTGGAGGCTGTTCAGACAGTAATTAAAACTATACTGAGAATTACAAGCAAAAACTCAGCTATCCCGATATCAAAAAGAAACATAAAATAGCTAGAAGAGATGTCACTTCCACCCTGACAGTCAAATGGCAGTGCTTAACTCTGTTGGGGCAGCTCCTGTCTGACTTCCTTACAAATTTAGAGAGACCTATTTAAATATGTAATAAAGATACGGCTTTGTCAAGACGAATCCACTCATTGCACGCTGTAATCAAAGCAAGCCCTCATATAAAACAGCGGGTGCCTGATCTTCTTTTCGTTTCTATCAATGTACTTCCACTGGCTTTAGCAGGGAAACCGTTGGCCTATGAGCATTGTGCTTGTAGAGCTGCACAGCCACAGGCACTCTACAACCTGTATCATATGTAGCTCTTCAGTGAGAAGAAAAGGCAGTGGATTCCTTTGCAAAATGTCTAGTCTTTGGCTGAATCAGAAGAGGCTTCTGTAATCTCTCACTAGGAATTTAACACAGTCTATTATTTGCAGTCTGGTTTGTAAGAGGAATTCAGGAGTTGGGACCAACAGAAATAAAGCGACTCAAAAGTGTGAAAATATTACCTTTCTTACAGCATCTCTTACAGTGTAAGTTCAGTCTTACAAAGAGCAAATATACCAGTTTCCCATATGTCAGAGTACCTGGTTGAACTTCTGAGGCCAGGACAATTTGAAGAGTGCTTAAATGTAAAAATGCATATTAGCAGACAAAAGGAAGGATTAGACTTCATCTCTGAAGAGGGTGGGATGGAGGACGCAGAAGCAGGCACTGGTCTGGTAATTGGATGTAACACAGACAACACGTTGCTGTTGGACAAGGGCAGATCATACTTTTGCGTCTGGAGGAGGACATACCCATGCTAATCCCACAGCAACAGCTGGTTAATTAATAAAGCCAGGAGGAAAATTCTCTTTGGCCCTGTCTCTCCATTTTTCTGCCTTTAGATATGAGGCCATTATGAGTTTGAGAAACTGAGAACAGCACGAAAAGTTTTTACCGCGCTGTCTGGGGACCTTGCGGGAGCAGAGAGTACGCTTTTTAAAAGCTGTTCTGTTGGAAATAATAGCCACGTATCTGTACAGAGTTCATGAGCTCCACTCCATTACATGCAAGTTTTAATGCGACACTTGAACAGTCCTGCCGCATTAGAACTACAGCATCAAGTAGCACTTGGGCCATATCACTCTGCAGCAGCAAAAAGTACTCGAAAGTAGGTCGTGGAAATAATCCTGCTGGTTCCAGTAATCAGAGTATACAAAAGGGTCGAAAGTTCAGGCTGCGCTGGGGAATGCGCTCGGAGAGCCGCTTCTGCCTGAGCACGGGCTGCGATTTATTCTCTCTGGGGGGCTCCTGGAAGGAGGGTTTCTCTCAAGTGGGACGTAGCCATCGGCTGGGCTCAATAAAACGGCAAAGTTCCTAGGATCATTTCTTCCCTGGAAACTGATGTCTCCCTTCCTCTCTGAAGAAAGAAGTTCTCGGGAGCAGGAGTGGGGAGAAGAAAACTTGGTCAGGTCCCTGTTTTCAGCTGTCTACATACTGGAAGGATGTCTGAGTTTCTGGACAGCTCTTTGACAGTTTACTCATTCCCGCTCAAAGAATTTAGACACCGGATGAAGGGGAAAAAGTGAAAACTGGCTGGATTTGAGTCAAGCTTAAGATGAATTCCAGATTAGAAGCTGCAGATCAAATTATATGTATACGTGTATATGCATACTTTTTTTGCGAAAGTGTTTGAATTGTTGTCTTGGAATATCAGATGGATGATCCTTGTGGTATTTTGGCTGCTTCTGCCCCACGGCCAGAGTACAGAGCCCACTGCCAAGGTCTGGACTTGTTTCAGAATCCAGACCTCCTTCCAAGGTTTGATATAGGGATTTGTATCCGTGATTACCTCTCTACTCCAGGTCAAAGTAAAAACTGAAAACTGTTCAAAAACTCTTTGAGAATGTCAGGGCTGCTCACCTGACTTTTATATATATGTATATGTGTGTGTGTGTGTGTGTGTGTGTGTGTGTGTATCTGTATGTATGGCAGCTAAATAGCATAAAAACAATAATCGTCATGCTGAATAAACTAAGGCTGCGTGTAGGCTATGTGTAGGATGCAGTCTTCCTTTCGTACCCTCCTGGCTCCTTGCAATTGGTAGTTTAAGGTATATCCTTATGAGGGATGCGTCTAAATCATCATATTTAATGACTGCCAATGGATTAGTCCTCCATGAAATATTTTAATCCCTTTCAAACCCTGTTGCCTCCGTATCATCCTGCGTCAATGATTTCTACAGTTTCAGCTATGAAATGTCTAAAAAAATCTATGTTTTCCGTCTTTTTTTAAACTAATTTATCAGATTTCTTTCCTGGGAGCCCTTGATTCTTATAATGTAAGGAACAACAAATAATAGTATTTTATCCATTTGGTCCACTCATGCTTTACCGCTCTCTGTCTTCGTTATCTCTTCTTTCAGCTGAAGACAACTAGTTAATACAACTTTTGTCACTGCTACAGAGCCCTTGTGTGGCTCTGCACCTCAATTTCTGTGCATGAGAAATGAGGAAAATACCTCCCTGCACCACAGGGTGATTGGTGCTTGTAAAGAACTTAAGAACCATTATATAGAAAAGGTATTACCATAGCATTCAAAATGCTGCATATAAATTAATTCACAAGTATGCATGCAGGTGACATGAGTATAAATTAGATCATTCTCATTCACAAATGACTTTTCATACAAAATACGGGAATCAATTACAAGCATCAGTTTTTGCAAATGTGGCCATTATTTATTAGAAAACACTCCTAAAATTATCTTAATGCTAAAATATGAATATTATTATGCAAGAAAGCTATACAGTGAATCCATTCAAATCACTAATGGAGAGAAAAGTCTCCCCCACCCCCTTATTCATTGCCTGCTTTATGCATCACAATTCGTATAGTGTATTTAACATTCCTGGACCAAATGAAAGGGTAACGCAAAATTCTATGTAAGTATTTCTTAAGTCATTTTACTATAATTAAATGTTGATTTGTCTCCTTCAGACCTTTTTTCCCTTGCTAAATCTCTGAAAGAGAATTACTGTGAGTAAAGAGTTTAAATTGCAACTTTTCAAGTTCTGCTATGTTCTTTTCTTAGAGGTTTGGTTATAGCTGCTTTCTTAATCTTTAGAGCTTGTTTTTCCCTTTCAAATTGTCTACTCAGATCGCTTTGTTTTACTTAATGTAAATATTCCAGCAAATTTCAGAACCAAATAGTGATGAATGCGATTAGAATCGGAGCTTTGTTAAGCATCATGAAAAGCTCCTTTATTTCAGCAAGGGAGATATATCACCTCTGTTGCAAATTATATCATGCTGACAGAGTGAAATGTACTGTAACCTGATGAAAGAAGAACATGATCTAACTGTATCGATACAGGAGGAAAGACATGAACACAATGTTCAAAACAAGTATGTCAGTAAGAGTTAGGTTTTTTTCTTGTTTTCATTTACTGAAGCAGATAGTGAGGTAATTGTTTCTCTGGAAGTATAAAAGTACAGCCAGTTGCAGCATGGTTTGGTAGGTGGGTCCTATTCGTTTGCTCATCAATTAACAGTTTACTCTATATGTAACAGGGGCAATCACAGGAAGAATGATGAAGAGCCATCTCAAACATTTACAAGATGCCATCCTGTGAAATTATACACTGAACACTTTTTAAAAATCTTTTGTCAGGGTAACGGATGGATTGTTTACAGACAAATAATTAAGACCATGTCCCTTCCCTAAAATACTTTTGATGCCAGGGCCAAATTTCAATCATGGTAACCTCAAATCTCAGATTAAGTCATTATATCTACTTCATCCAAGCCAGAAGAGATCGTCTGGATTAATATAGGGGTTATTCAGAGCTATAGCTACTTTAAGGACACATATGCAAACAGAGAAAGGAAAGCTGAATGATGAAAAGTGGTATCACTAAGCAGTAATATGAAGCAAAATTATTTGGTTCTGTGTTCTTATTTGTTCCTGTGCTGGAAACACTGGTTTGCTGAATAGATGCCAGAATGAGTCACAATTCACGATCTTGACTGCTCGTCCGAAAATCTATGGAAATTTTTTGGGGGCGGGGGGGGGGGGGGATGTCAGCCTTCACGATTGCTGCTAACAGAAAGTAAATATGTAAATAATATCATTTACCGTTAATGCAGGTATCTGTTAAAGGCATCACCCTACTCAAACTGATAAAAAAAAGAGTAACAGGACTGCTTGAACCATTGTCTTGTATACATAGAAAGAGACTGTCCTTTATCATTGCTTAGATGGGCAAGCAGAGGCTAAAGATTCTTGAATGGACTTACTGCATTGATTTTAAAAAAGTAATTTATGTGCCAAAGCAAGTTCTTTTTAAGTCCTACAGATGTTGACACTGCAGAACCCGTCTGTTCTTTACTGCTCCATCGCTGCAATCTTCATTCTAAGGCATTGCTGCAAAACATACTTCGACTGAGGTAACCAATTTCCAGCTGAAATACAACACAGAGCTTCCACGGTACTCACTTTGTAAGCGTAAGTACCTGTTTTTCAGATCATCAGGTGTATCAGTGAATGTATCCACGCTTTGTAAGCGAGTGTTAAACCTATACTTAAATGGGGCTTTGAAATGGCAGAAAATTGCATGTTGGATTTATCATTAAATGGTGTGTGGGGGGGGGAGCGAAAGAAAAAACATTGTCTAGTATATGCAAAAAGAACAAGGAAGCTTTTTATTTCCCCGTCACTTATTTCTCTAACACTGGAGGATGCAGATAAAGATGAAATGAAATATCCTATAGTCCCTGTGATAGGCATGAGCAAATGTGCTAAGCCAGAAATTTATCCCAAAATTTGCATGAGGGAGATTGTGCTTGCCCACGTCTAAATTTTTGCCTTTAATTTCTACATTTAAGTTTTTTCATGAAGTTCTTTTCTTCTTGTTCTAAACTGCCATGAAATGTTGCTATACTGATATGACTATTAGCCTGTTGCTTTCAAAATAAAATCTCCACTGACTTTGGTATCATTATGATTTTTGTTCCTTAATGGTACTGTCCTCCACCACATCAATAGTGAATAAAGTTATCCCTGCACGCTAGCTTAAGTTCTCAAAGTTGTTTTGAATGTTAGCAATCAAATAAATACAAAAGCGTTGTCACCGTCAGAAGCGGTTGTTTCACAGAAGCTTAAAAACATGTGTGGGAACAAAAATGTTTTAAAAAACAATTTAAAAATTTACATGAAGTATTTTTAAAATATTTTGCCAAATGACAGGAAGGTTGCATTTTTACTTTTAAATTACTCTGTTCAGTATTACCCAAATGATCATTTTCTGCACTTGTATAAAATAAAAAGAGTTTTGCTCTTAAAAAAAAAAAAAGAGATTTGGCACTTAGGGCAAAATTTTCCTCTCCAATCTGCAATGCAGATGCCTTAGCCGCAGAGCAGATTTCAGCTGCCTTTCTGCATTCATTTCATGCATAAAACTTCCGCTGACGTCTCTGGGAGTTCCGCGCACGGGCTCCGTGCAGGCTAGACCACGCAGAACAGCCCAGAGGGAAGAATTTACCCGGATTTACCTTGAACATCCAGGACAAAAATCTAGACAAAGATTGAAATCATGCTGGTAGCAACCATTTGAAGGTAGTTCCTACATGATCAGAAAATTTTCTTGGAATAATTGCGACCAGACTACGGTCTACTGGAGAAGTTGATATTTTGGCTGGAGTTAGCACAGTTCTGTGAATAGCTTCCCTTCTCTGAGTCGAACGAAGGGTGATAACTGTGAAAACCTGCTAGCTAAAATTTGCCAGTAAAAACAAATCATTGCAGCCTACGTTATGGGTAGGGTTGCTTCCAGCATGCAGGAAGAATTAATTTCCCCACAGTGCTGCCTTAAAGATGGCAGCGTCTCCTTCCATTAGCAGCTGTGCTGGAGCAGTTGGCTGGTGAATCTACCTCCCGCTGCCCCTCCCCTCCTCCCCTTCCATCACAAGCTGAAGATAACGTATAAAAATTCAGCAGGGAGGAGACCCTCAGGATGAAGTGGATACGAATCCTTTAGGTATTTACACAGGGGAAGGTAGCTTTTCCTTCCCCTGTGCAGAGAGACTGTGTTAAAGCCCATGCCGATTGCTGTTTCTGTGTGCCTTGAGGCAATGCAAACAAGATTTTCTCTTTAAATCGCTGCTAATTAGAATGAATAAGTCCAACAAAATATCAGCAGTGAATAGTAATTGAAATAAACCTCCAAATCTCACCTAGATGTATTTTGAATTTTCCTGCTTTTTTTTTTTCAGAAAAGTGTCATACGAATGCATTTGCCTATGTTTATGTGTCCATGCCATGGCAAGTGTGAAACAGCAAATGAAAAAAATCACAAAAAAACATTGCAAATGTATTTTGGTAAGAATTTCCAGCAGAAATATTTTGAAATCTCTCTCTTATTTCTTATCCTCCTCCCTAAAACACCGTATTTGAGAAAGGGAGGGAGCGACAAAGCATCTAATTCAGACTCCCATGCCAGACATAGCAAATAAGTAAAGATACAGGAGGAAATTTTGAAAAATACTTTTTTTCGTACAATAAGGCCTGGGCACTTACCAATCCTAAAGAAAACGAGTGAGTCTTGGACACATTTGTCATTTTTGAAAATGGTATGTTAGTATTGTGGAAATGTTATTTCTGTTGTTGCAAGTACAAAAATGTGTTTGGGGGACTGATGAAATAAAGTCGCAACAGTTAGACTCTTCACGGATTACAAACAGCAGAAGGTGCTAAATCCATGTAATGGACTAGTGCTAGAAATGGCTTGCTGCGTGCAGTTGCTTGCATGTTTTCAATAATGGGAACTAACCCTACTGTCAATCTTGAACGCCTTGGTCTCCTTTGCTTTCATTGAGGTCATGTATATGAGATTACTGTCTTTGCAGATCAAAGTGCTATAGCTGATCTTAATGGCAAAAGGGAACATATAAAGAACAAAATCAAAAACGATAAATTTTACCTGTGTTTTAAAGGTGCAGTTGAAGATTCTTTCACCTAATTGTTACAAAGATAGGTTCCCATAGTAATTACACTGAATGGGTTTAAGGAGAAAAAAGACTTTTTGGAAAAAAAATGATATGACATAAGCTGATGGCATTTGAGGCATTTACTAGGAAGACTTTCCTTACATCTGACTTACTACTTAGAATTATTTTCTTTTACAGACCGGAAAACTCAGAACATATCATCACATACACCTTTGTCTGGAATTCTTCTGATCTTTCTGGAGACGTTATTGTTTAACTTCTTGGATGGGGTAAAAAGCCTGTGTTTAAGGGCTTGACTTGGTGGATCCAGTTTCTACGTGTGGCTGTTGCCTGTGTAACTTTGTTCATAACCTTGGGCAGGTCCCCCAGTACCTGCATTTCATTCAAACCCAAAACATGCTGGGAGCTGGAACTTAACTGCTAACTCTGGCCCCTTCTTAGACATAAAGAGAAGTCTCAGTAAGAAGAAGACTGAAATATGAATTAATATTATTTGTTCTGGCATCAATCATTCACTCAAAAAATCATATGTAAGCTACAATTGGATTAAAAGGTTAAGGTTAATTAAATATCTGAAGTGACTGAGGTCTTGTAGACCTAGGAGTGTGGTGGGCAACTGTCACCTACACCTGTTAAAATACATTAAATAACTGTGGAGAATGCATTTTTTCAGAGAGGAAGAGGCTCAACCTCAGAAAACTGTACCAGTTTCTGAACAGTATTGCTTTTTTAACATGTTTTTTTTCCTATATTATTTATCTTTTTCACTCAATGGACATCCTGAAAGAACCAAGTGATCCTTTTCAATTATAAAATAATAAAAAGAGGAAACAAATATTTTCCTTTTTTGAGGTGTAATCAACACAAACGCTAAAACATATCTCAGAACGTGTGTTCTGCTGTTTGCAAAGTTACCAGTTCCAGTGTCGGCCAAACAGCTTCGAGTTGTCTTGTCTGATACTCCAGTACAGCCTATCTGCTGTGTAATACGTTTACTGGAAGCCCTTGTGATCAATGTCTCTGCTAGTGCATGTTTTCCCCTCCCAGCCTGTTACTGCATTACACAAGAAATCTCCAATTTAGCCTGTAATCCTGGCAAGCATTTCTTGGACCATATCGCTATCCTTTCATGTTGGCCAAGTTTAAAGGGGGAGAAGGAGGAGGAGAAAGATTAGCCAGCTGCTTTTAAAACCCATCGGTGCATACTGTATTTACCGAGATGGGTAATAAAGACAAGCTTTGGTCCTATTGTTATCTTTTTGGATAAGGCCTGTGTTATGTTTGGGGAACAGAGGTCACGTTTTCTTGCACTTGTGTCCTGTGATTGGTGTATTGTTTAAAGACTATGAGGAATAATCTTGTGCTCCAAAGGAAGTTGGCAATAAAGTTTGCTCTATAAAAAGAAACATGCAGTTAGGATACAGTTTCCTTTTCTGAGTCAAAGCAGAGCGTCAAGTCAGAATTTCCAACCCAGAGGGTCAGGAAGGATTCCAGGACTTCTTGAATCACAACTGAAATGTGCAGCCACCCTCCAGCTCCCTTCGTTTCACCCTTTTGGCCCAAGTCCCGCTGGGATTACTACTCTGAATTATTTTATTTTCAATTTACTGTATGACCAGTTCTTAATATGGACACACACCATGTTTTCCCCGTGCTGTGTCTTCTCTTCCTGTCTTAACTGACTACTGTCATTTCTTCTCTGCATGCTATGCGCACAGTCAAGTGTTCCCTAAAATTTAGGATGCTTTTTCCTACCTGAAATACTGAAGAAACTGAACTCTACCCTAAACCAATGGAGATAACAGCTCTCGCAGTCTCTGTTGTCTTTGCTCATGGTGTTTCTTTTTTAAAATAAAATCAATAATGAACTTTTACAAGCTATTTGGACAGTGATTTCATTCCATGCTTACTTTTTCATTAAAATTATTTGGAGAAGAACACACAACTTTTTCCAAGAAGATTATTTTTTCTCCTCTGCAAAGGTTCAAGCACTTGAAAAAAAGCATGCACTTTGTTTCCATATGGTCACATTTACAATAAAGACAGTGCACTTTATAATGTATGGCAGTTTTTTCTGTATTAACTGTGATTTTGTAGACACATTTATATTAGGAACTTTTTGCACCTATCTTTCTATATTTGTACATATACATGCTTGGCAACCTGACTTGAGAATAGGAAATATTTCTCATAGTTTTCATTCTCAAGTAGTACTGACTCCCAAATATAACGTTACAAAAATAGTGTAAGAGACCGTAAAGGATGTATACTATGTATATATAACGTGGTGCTGTGGTACTCTATAATGTGAGGAAGTGAAAATTTCAAATCTGCTTGGAAAGAAGGTAAAAAACGTAAAATGAATGAATCTCTTGTAACATAGAGCAGCTTAACCTTTGATGAAGTGCAGCTCACTTACCTGGATAGTTTTGCTGAGTTTGATCATTTATTATATCCTATCCTTGCTGGTTTTCTTCATCCCAAGGGTACACTAAATGAACTTAAGATTTGCTTTCTCTTCACTGTTATGCATGCAGCACATGCAAAGGATGAAATGTTCAAATGTAAAGATAATGCAGTAATTAGTAAAGAAAGACAATAGGTACCTGACAAAAAAGAGAAGAAAATCTAACCAGTGAAATAACAAAGCTGGAAGGGAAATTAACCTGTAGGTAAGTGAAATTCCTGAGATGAGCAAATGCATTGAAGGGTTAGTGATTCTGTGGATCAAAGAGCTTGCTTTTGCAACGTGATGCCATTAGGTAAAGCAGTAAGTGGTAAAACAAGGCAAAATCAAAGAAGTCTGTGCCTTAATGATTAGGCTTTAATAATTCTCCTTTTGTTTTGCCCAATATATCTTTTGCTCTGCTACCCACTGGGCTGTCATCAAAGGATGGGTGGAGAATACCTCCACCTAGAACACCCTGTAATTTAGTAGTTAGGTCATTTTCATGGGAGATGGGGGTTTGAACCACTTTGGGCAGGTGTTTCCCACTTCCTTGTTACTACATTAAGAGGGGACAATACCTTATTATCTTAAGAGAATATTTTCTACAAGGAAAACTAGGTGCTTAAACCTGAGGAGAATGTTCTTGCCTGGGGATCCAGTTCTGTCAAAGGTGAGCAAAGGGGGCCATGAAGGTATTTTGTATCAGAGAACCTAGAGGTATATCTGTACAACCCTGTTGAAGGGAAAGACTTCATAAGCATGACTGTCTTCAGCATTTTCCACTGGCTGGGTTAGGAGTCCTCTCTCAACAGCACGTTATCTTCTGTGAAAGCCTTTCTGAGTCACCAAACTTTCTTCATGAGTGTATGTGCTGAACATGTGGCTGTGGACATCGTTCTAGGAGAAGAGTGCCTTCTGTTAGACAGAATGATGTGTCAGCCTAAGTCCATTGTAAATCTATCCCTCAATGTTTTTTCTTTCAGATTAACACCTCTGATAGCTCTCAGGTTTATACCAGCCCAGCAAAACACGATGCTTCATTCCTGCCATCACCTCAAGCTTTTGAACCTTCTCTGCTTTTTAACAGGAAAGTACGAAGTGGCCATGAATCAGAGAGATATTATTTTATGTAGACTTGGCACATGTGTAAAGGACAGAGGGTTAAGGGTAATAGAGAATCTAGCTCTTACTTTCCCTCAACATGAACGAGTCTGGGTCAAAAATGCAATGGCATGCTGAAAAGACTATCTCACGTTCCTTTCATAGTCAAGAAAATGGTAGTTGGTTTATCTTTCTTATTTCCCATTTGCTATACAATAGTTTACAAGACTTCAAACTGTGAGGGCAGGCAAGGAGTGGCAGTCTTTCCTTCACTGCTTTTACTCATGCACATGCAGGTTATTTTAAATGATGATTCCTTTGCAGGAGAAATGATGAAATGCACAACTCAAGAGTTTTCACAGCAGTTGAAAAGTATAGCTTGGCAACGAATGGGAGGGGGAAAACATTAAAGACAATGCAGTAACAACATGCAGGGAAGAAAGAGAGAGATGGGGTAGAAGATAACAGGATATTGGATAGAGCACACAAGCTAAACAGGAAAAATTAGATGAGGAAAGGAATGTGAAAAAATAGGGAGGTAAAGATTAAGAAATCTGCCTTGCCGGGTAAGCAAGCTGCTCACTGTCACGGCTCACTTTGGGCAGGGAAGGTTAGAACTGTCGACTGATCTCTAATGAAATACAACGTTTTTTCATATCATCTTAATAACAGTAGTAAAGTAATTAGATTGCATAATGGTCTGAGAAATGGATACTTCTGACCCTGACTTCTAGCACTCTGACTTGCTGCTGAAACTGCCCAGGTTAACAGGATACGCTGGTGTTCTGGCTAGCAAGGGTATTGCAGCTGCCTACAGCCATCTTCCGGAGGCAGGCCACGCTCCAGCTTCAAATACTGTGGTGCTTTCTAGCTGAATCTCCATTGGACGGGTATGTGTCCTCAAAGTGTGTATTTCTTTTATCTGAGCTACTCTTACGGAGGTGCATTTAGCAAACAAGAGCTGGTTGGGAATATAAATGAAATTTCATGGCTTGAGGTTTTTATATGACTTGTTCAAGGAGCTTAAGGCATGTGGCCAAACACACAGTTGATCTGTGTTTTGGTTGTACCAGTGTCCCTGTGTTGAAACCTGAAGGGATTTTTTTTCCTATTCTCAGCCTGGAAACTGCTCTTAAATGTGTCCGATATACATGTGCAATGACCCCTCTACGTATTCAGTGACAGACTTACCGCTGCTCGTGGGCTGGAATGACCATACTGCGAAACCCCTAAACCAACTGCATATTTCCCAAAGGGAAAGACTGAAGACTCGCAGTTTGTGGGCCCATTTTTGTGGTGTGCTCCTGTGGTGAAGGATCAGGCTTGACAGCATTTGCTCCACAAGTGATGCCAATGCACATTCCTAAGCAACACCTTTCCCTCCGAGTGCAAATTTCCTTTATCCCTCGTTTACATGGCATTTGCCTTTTCTTTGTTGTTTGCTTGGGCACAAAGTCTCATATACATGCAGGCGCTTCATAAATTCGGCAGAGGATAGCTTTTTTACCTCCTTAGAACCTGAAGGCATAACGTAGCGCATTTCACAGCCGCATCCTTACTGATCTGGAAACCTGCTGGCGACACTCATGGGAAGTTTCCCCATAGCAGAATTAACCCAGGTGTCTAAGAGAAAATCACAGACCTTCAGCTCCTCTGCATTCCCCTTACTCCGTACCTAAGTCACTTTGGAACATGGCAATTTATAATGTGTGGCGTCATCTCACAGACTCTGCCAATGAATGTAAATGGCATAAAGAGCATGTGGAACAGATGGAATGAGACATGCACGTAAAGAATTAAAGTATTTGTGAGGGAATTTGGCAAGGATGTTGGAATGCTTCAAGCGCTGTGTACGGGGGTGGAGGCAGGGAGACCAGGATGAGTTGTGTGGGGCTGTGTTCAAGTGATCCATTTCTTTTAGGAACAACGTGTTGACCTATTTCTCTAGTCATGCTAAACACAGCAACAAAAATCTAATTTTCCCAGCTCCTGATACCTTTTCAGCCTGACAACTTATTTTAGTAGGGGGCAATGTTTCCTTGAGGAAGAGTTGTGAGTTGTTTGCTTTTTCATTGCAAATATTAGAACAAATGAGGGATAGCAAACCACAAAAAAAAGTGAGTGGGAATGGGATGACTTGGTACAAAGTCAGTACAGTGCACGTGTGTGCACTCCATGAGAGAAAGTGGCCTGAGTAGAGAAGGAATTCTTAACACTAATGCAGAAATGACTTAGGTGTTTAATTTAAAAATGGTCTTAGATATTGACTTAGTCTAAGCAAAAGTGACTTTTTTAGGAGATCTTATACACACACATACACAAAAAGAAGGACTTTTTGGAGTTGGCTCACTAGACTGAAAAGGAACAAGAAGAGGTTTTATGTGAAAGTGACATAAAGAAAGGCCAATGGAAGATCTGATGAAATGTAATAGTTTGCCTCATTCATGGACTTCTGGGCCAATTAATTTACATTTCCTATAAGCAAACTTGGGGACTAGCATTTTTGATCCATTCATTGTCTAACCCATTTCTTGGAAAATACTTCTGGAAGATCATGATAGAGCTTGGATTTGCTTTGAGTATGGTTTTGCAGGCAGCTGTTTGATCTGCTATGTGCCACCAGTGACACATTTACACGGACATAGTGACATCTCAATCTGAATCACTTCAATCCGGTTTTGTAATCTGCAGCCTCCCTTTCTCAGTGAGGAGTAACAGGAGCTCTCAATCTGAGCACAAATATTCTTGTTCACTACTTAGACCAAACATCTGAATTCATGCATGTGAAAAGACGTTTTCTTCCAGCCACAGGAAAAGTTGACACATTGACTGAAAGGTTTATTAAAAAAAAAAAAAAAAGTGACATTTATTTAAGCAATGCAGTCTGGCAGTCCTAGGAAAAGGTAACACCTGATGGTTTTCATTAAATCATTAACAGAGCTTCTAGTGGTGCTACTGGACTTTAAAGGAAGCCCACATCCAGTCAGCTTGCCCAAAGAGAAATCCTGAAACAATGATGTGAATAGAAGAGACAACTCAGGTTTCCCTTGATAATCATAAAGGGCTCAAATTACCTTCCTTTCCATCCCCAAAGGGGGCATAAATACTTTGTTTATGAGACTGTTTGCGCATGACTAATCTATTTCTACTTGCTAATTGTAATGACTAATGCATCTTACAAGACAAATAGTAGCTTGTAATAACACCCGAACAAGTAGATTTATAAGTGTTAAGCAAAAATACAAATACTTAGCAGAAGTTGACTGGTATTATCTTCTAATTAGCTGTAAAGACACTTTCTACTTGGAAGAAAAAAATAGGAAGATTTCTCAGAAAAATGTAGAAATAGCTAGGCCAAGTTACTGTTCTCATGAAAAAAGGCAGCGGTCAGGTAGTATTTAATTTTCATGGGAGCTGAATTCAGTCATACTTCCCCTGCTGACGTCAGCGCAAGAAAAGCA